GATTGTGTATAGAAATGGATTTAGGAGGTTACAATGTGAATGTACTCTCGTCATAAGTCCTAGAGGACCAGATTGATAAGGGAATAATTCATGTTCAATCTAGAATAATAAGATAAATGACAACCATTTATGGATCAAATAGAAGCTTAGAAATTCCAATAGTCGAAATCATGAGTCAATTGAAGCTAGACCACCACGGAAAACCTGGGAGCACTAGATGGCTGTTTCGTCCCATAATGGGACTCCTCAGTAGTGTGCATCCAAGATCCCATCTCTCAAGGTTCGAACCTAGGACCTATCGGTCTCGCATGCGAGCTCTTAACCACTAGACCATTGAGCTTACATCCAATGGTGTTCATGTCTAACTTCAACCAACCCACGAAATTGAGTGAAACATCTACCAATGTCTACTATCTCACAATAGAGCGAAATGGCCATCCAATGTTTCAAGATTTTCCATGACGGTTTAGATTCAAATGACTCATAATCTCAACTTTTGAAAATAAATTACTGTTTTTCATTCATTCATTGTATAAGTAAGAGAATAATTAAAATGTTTAAATGCATTTTATTCTATTAACTTCTATATACATATAACATAAACATCAACACGATAGAATTAAACTGAGGCGTCTAGACATATGCGTGACACTATCAAGACCTCGATAACTATCTATATACATAATATAAATGTATAGATCCTTTTTAATATATCAACAAAGTCATAGTATATGAGATATTATTATTCGTTTTACTTCACGCTTACTACTACTACTACTTTCATTACTATTATAAGTAGTATTACTAAAGTCTAAGGTGTAAGAAAATTCTGCATACATACATAGATCAACATATATCGAATTAATAATGACCGAATAACTTAGAAATCATTTTCAATTCACTAGAATAATCAACGTGTAAATTTACACGATACAAAACTACATTTTGTTCTTTCTTTTCATTTTCTTTCTTTTTTTCTTTTTTTTTAATTTTTTCTTTTGGTGAGTAAAATTTTTTTTATGTAAATTAGATGAAAAGAAAATTGATAATCTAAAAAAAAATAAAGGAGAATATTAACGTTTTCATTCATTCATTCTTTCTTTCTTTCTTTCTTTCTTTCTTTATATCTATTTTTCATGCATGAAAAATTAATTAGTTGACCGAAAAGTTTCGTTCTTTTCTTATCTTTGGTTCTTTTCTTTATAGGTCAAATAACAGTTTTAAGAAACGGTCGGTAATATTGATTTTGAGTGATATTAGTAAAAGTATACAGTGTTATTTTTCTCTCTTACTCTCTCTTTCTCTCTCTCTCTTACTCTCACTCTCGGAACAAAAAGCTCATTTGGCTTTAACCAACTTACGTCAGTAGTTATGGCAAAAGCGAGATATTAATCAATCAATTAAGGATGAGTATATTGTGCGGTAGTTTGTTTTGTTTGACTTGGCCATTATAAATAGAAGGCATTCGTAAGCTATTAGTATTTGACCACAGATGCTTTAGAAATATTGCTCGTATATTCTGGGATCACTGGGTAATTAATAGTGAGATTAGACGTAGGGTATTAGGGAATGATGGTCAATCAGTTGATGACGTAAATCTTCATCGACTGATATGGTTGGGCCATGTGTTGTATTGCGTATGCTTGAACACCGATTAACACGATGCGCAATGTTGACTAGTGTTGAGGATGGTTGAAAGGAAGTTAGAGGTGGCCAAACCAAAAACACGTGGCATCAGTGCTTGAAGTGACTAAGTTCTAGTTTGATCCATGTTGTTAGATGCAGACTACTTGGTTGATGTTCGCGTGACTAACATACCCAATAGTTGGAGACTCCATGTGATATATGGTTCAGAATCGATCTCAATGCCGTAGGTGTATACATCCTTTGTCTTAACTTAAACTGTGAGCTGAAAATTGCTTAATATCTTTCTTTCTGTCAACTAATTCTTCCTTCCTGTACTGTGTCCTTATATGCAATCTTTCTTTTATATATTACCACCACTGAATTAACTATAAAGTGATTGACGATAAAATCATCTTCACCTTAATGGATCATGCAATTTAGATCGAACCTGTTAAATCATTGATTGATTACTGATCCGAAATATATAGTTAGTTATAGGTAATATGGAATCTGGAGTATGTGTGCATCGGTTCAAGTTGCCCCATTATATCAATCCAACAAGATCAACTTATAAAGACAAATCTCATAATAGGGGAAGTTGGAACTGTATTAGTGATATTAGAAAAACTAGGCATGGACAATATGATTATAGAAGAAGGAATGAATTTTAAGATAATTTTTGAACTTAAGATCCACTAGAAGATGTAGATTGAATAAAGGTATCTTAAGGGGTGATAGTGATATATGAGATGTTATCTACTTCCCGTTTATTAACACTGTTAAAGCATGCTTCTTTTGGTAGCTGAAAAAGAAATCATTTTAAGTGTTGATCTTGACCGCCTGGGGATATAATTACAGAAACCGACAGATGACTGCTTGAGGCTGGTTATACGCATCTTTTTATGAATTATTTTCAAATGTTCTAAAAGAAGACAAGTGGTGAGCGCGTCTACGTCATTGCAGCAGGTTCTGAACCATATCACCCAAAATCTCTAACTATTGATTACGATAATCTTGTAAACCCTAACCAGGTAGTCTACACTTACTATCATGGCTCAATTCAACAGTCACTGACTTCATGCACTGCTATATGCAGTACAGAGCGTGAACTAAATAGATTAAATACTAAGTGTATGGTAACAAAAGTAGGGTAACCCATAGTTGTGTTTACGCTGACACACATATATCCTTCCGTTGGCTGGATAAACTTGTTTTGATTGATTTCCTAACTCGAAGTATAACCAGATAATTAAGATCATGAATTGACGAATGTTAGACCACCATTGAAAACCTAGGAGCACTAGATGGCCGTTTCGTCCCAATATGGGAGTCCTCAGCAGTGCGCATCCACGATTTCGCAGGGGGATTCGAACCCACGACCTTAGGTCTCGCGGGCTAAAGCCTAACATTCAGACCAGTGGGCCGATATCCAGTGATGTTCAAGTTTCACTTCAACCAACTGACGATATTGCGTGACCATCAGATATTCAGATCAGCACTTTCTGTACATGTCTTCATTGAAACTGGTTTATTTAAAGAGTTAAATCATTACTTAAGTATTTCTTGAAGTTCCATGTGAATTAATGTTTACTCGTCACAACTAGACCATCTGGATATATTTGGAAAGTATTAGGTAGCTGTTTCGTCCTAGTATGGGACTTCTTATCAACACACACCTAAGTCTATGTATATTTTTAAATCGGAAAGCTTTAAACCTAACTAAAAAGCATGGTGTCTTTAAACTAGTAGACTAAAAGCCGTTAATTTCAGTGAGGTCAACCGGGTGTATATGATTTCATAGGTGTACAGTACTAACTATATATGACAATATAGGGTTTAAAACTTTCTTTAGTTCTCTGACTGACGTTATTTCACACCAGAAGCTATTTTCAAACTTGATAAATCCCTGGACAAAATATTTTATATGATTAAAACAATCGTATATTCATATACTCGTGAAAATTAGAAAGCACTGGATAGATGTTTCTCTCAATGAGGGGAAACTGAACAGTCTGTGTCCAAAAAAGTCATACATTTCTGAGATATTCTGTAACAAGTTAACTAAAAAAACATGATACCTCATTCATTTAGTCTGAAAGTAACCTTGCTGAATCTGATATGGTCTTAGAAACCAAAAAATTATTAGACATCTTTTTCATCATTTTTTTCCCATCTTTTCAATTATGCTCAATCAAGCAAGATCTTTAAAGGAATCAAGCTTTATATGTGTCATTTTTAATATTCAGATGAGCACAAATGTTGATCAATCTCACATTCATTCGTTAATCAACTTTTCACCTACTAAAAACTAACTTGCTTTTTGAATTTCAGTAGCCTTTTCAAATATTTAGACCATCTACTCTTCAAATTGTGCAAATATTCCATGTAACCTTTATGGTTTAGTTTCATCTAATCAATTATGAATGCTAAATTGTATGTATCCACGTATCATTATTATTAGAAAAAAAAACAAGCTTGTAACTTACCGCAATGAGAGGAAACACCTACAGTTTTTGATATATTTTCTTTACCTATTCTTTAAGAAAAAAAACCCACAAAAGAATAGATTACAATTTATACATTTTTATACTTGAATGGATGAGTGGGAAATCATACTGGGTAACAGTTGAACTAGTAGAAATGTTTCATAATTGAGAATAGATTTCTATAAATAAATACGATCTGAATAGAATGGGGGTAGGTGTGGAGATTGTAGTAATTTTAATAGTTGAATTCATGAGTCGATCTAAGCTATATCGCCATGAAAAACCTGAAAGCACTGAACGGCCATTTCGTCTCAGTATGGAACTCCTCAGTACTACTGCACCTCCGCGATCCCGTACATAGGACTCGAAATCTAGACCTTCGGTTTCATGCGCGAGTGCTTAACTTCTAGACCATTGAAGCCGACATAACTAACTTCAACCAATCTATGGTATTTCACGACCGTCCGTCATTGTCTTCAGTGAGTTACTACCTCACAACAGGCACGGTTAAACTCCACTGGTCACGGATGTGCACTGCTAAGGATGAAACGGATGTTCAGTGCTTCCAGGTTTTCAATAGTGATCTAGTTTAAATCGATTCATGAATCCAATGATTAAAAAAGAAATTCCTCTAAATATCATACAACTGATGCTGGAAAATGTTCTACTCTAACAAAATTTCAAGCGTTAATTAAACCTATTATTATTCCTGCCTCGGTTTGAGCACCCTGATAGTATCCCAGCCCTCACACCAATCGAATGATTTATGTGGCGCATGTCTATTTTGTGCCTCCTTTGTACCAATGTTTATGTGTTTAAAATAAATAAAATTGTTATAATTACATTATTTCCATAAATTTATTCTTTTTTTTTCTAATCGAATTCAAGTGTTCAACTAATTGATTTCAATTAAATGTAACTACCATGTTAACTCAATCACCTGTACAAGAAACTTCATTAAATTATCAACATGTAAATTCAACAACAAAACGACAATTGTCATCATTTCCAATTTCAAATCAACAATCTTTACCAATAACACATCAAGAAATTGCAGTTACATCAAATTTAATAGATATACAACAACAAAATCAATCTATACCATCTAAAGATCGTCCATTAAGTGATGCAGATCTTACATTGAATAAAATTAAATCTCCTTCTGGAATTCCTCGATTGTTCTCTTTGAATGATTCGATTGCTAATAGATTGAATAATAATAATAATAATAATAAAAGTAGTAACAATAATAATTCATCTCCAAATAATTCGCCAAATGAACAAAATGATGAGAATCGTATGTCAAATGGTAATGCTTGTAACACTAATAATACTACAACCAATTATACAAATACCAATACGAATAATAATCATAATTCGATATATTCAAACAATATCTCAACAGATCATTCAACCTTACAATCAAATTCATCTTATCCACAAAAATCTTTACCAACAAAGTATAATACATTATCATCACCAAATGGTTCTGGTAATCAACGTGTTAGCCGACCACGTACTATTAATACAATACAACCAGGGAATAGACAAGATCGAACAATGTCTGAACGTAAGTTATTTTTGTTTGTGTTTCATTTATCTGTAGTTTATTTAATCGCTTTTTGATGTATATCAGTTACGACATAAGTAAAATTAATATGGATTTGTGTTAGGTAGTTAGAGTTAGTTAACAAAAAATCTTATTTGATCTAGATTTTATGCTAGTAGACACCTGGAGTCTTCAGAAAATTGATGCACACTCTGATATTCCAACCTAGTTTCGCAATCTAAGACGCATTATTGAGCTTATGAAATATCACTTACCTCTATCGAAACCGGTGTACTTACTTTGATTGATCGCCAATTACTGACTAATGTTCTCAATATCGATTCCATCTTAACATTGACCGAATTCTATCTATAAGGTTATAATTTTACCACTAGTGTAAGTGACTCGAATTCGTGTACACTATGTTGAGACTTGAGGTAGTGGTTAGAAATAGTGAATAAGAAATACTAAACCTAAATTTTATGCTTTTTGGAACTTATCAGCAAGATGTACTTGTAATCTTGCAATGTGATCAATGAAATCCGATTATCACATAATGAGTACTTGAGATACATGAAATTCGTCACTACTCAGTGATCAATGAATTCTAAGTGCATTTCAATCCCACATGAGTTCATTCATGATTCAAATAGCTCAGTAGTGATGCCCCCGTCTGTGCAGTTGGATTACATTGGATTGAATTCATTAGAGTACATCAGTTCCCTCAAGATTACGTACGCACCTTACTGACACGAATGCTTTATGTTACGAAACTCAATTCAAGTAGGATTTCTTGTTGGTTACTTCCAACTGCCACCTCACATAGATTACACGGTGTCATGGAGCAATAGATAAATGCAGTAAAAGTATATTTTAGGGACGAGATAATCAGGATGGAGAACACGAATTTTAAGTTTTTCTGTTGAATTCAAATATTTCATATGAAAAACAGTAAAATTGTTTTCATAATACTACCAATAGTGCTTGAAAGGTTCAAGAAAAATTAATTTTAGCAACCATAAAATAAAAATGATACTATTCAACATATCATTTTCACAATTCTATCACTTCAGATTGTATATAACTGGCACGTTGACACTATCCATAAATCTTAACTCTTAATACTTAATCCTGAAATAAACTTTAATCTTGTAATGTCCTATGACCGGTCAAATATCACTTGACACAATTGTCGATCTAAACACCGACTTCTATGACCATGTTTCTCTTCTAAACTAATGACATGTCAAACAGCACTACAAACCTTGAGTCAACTCTAAATCCTTATTAGTCCTTTATATAGCCAAGTTCGTTGAGTCCAGAACACAATAATCAGCCTCTACCATATGGATATTATATTTCAAATATATGTAGTTTAGATACAAATAGACCAGACCAAATCACATCATAAAATAAAAAATAAAAATTGTACAAGATCAAGTCAAAAGTGGCTGTGAGTGTGAGAGATTATAACTAACAGATTGAGGATAAATTAAGAATGGCAAATCATATAAGAGTAGCCAATGTACCAAATGAAAGTAATATGAATATATACTTAATCTAGTTATTTAATAATTATTGAATGAGAATATATGCAATAATAGTCCATAAATAATCCCCCGACAGTTACCACTCATTTGTTCTTTGTTCGGATATAACAAACCTTGTGAAATCATATTTTATGAACGAAATAATCAAATCACACCCCTTAAAATGTTGGGTGACATTCATTCATTCACATAATTGTAGAGCATTTGTACATTATATCTGATGTCAGTACGTGATGAATACCTCAACCTTAAACCCTTATGGATGTGTATAATTTAAGCCTAATAAACTTCCCTCTTCACTTTTAGTCCTCTTAATCATTAGTCCGTTAGGAGATCGCATATACGAAGTTTATGTATCACTTGTGTACACTTTATCTGAGCGTAAATTATGTGATTTAGCGCATAATCAAGGTTGTGGTTTTATGACTGGAAAGTACTTTCACCTTATAACTAATTCTTAACCATAACTTTCGTAGATCTATAAATAAAGTGATAGGACCATAACTAATGAACTGAATAAACAGATTTAAGATAACGCTTGTTGAAATTCATTCATTCTTATCGCTACTAAACATTCTTGCATTAAAGTTGATGTCAGTTCGTGATAAAAACATCCTAATCTTATGTATTTTTCGTTTACTTATCGTAAATAACTCAACATGGTTAAGGTTAATTAATTAATTATGTCAGAAATACTTATTTACTGCAATTATATTACTTTATATAGTGAATTGTTTCTGTTAGAAAGATTCAGAAAACTCCTCGAAAAAAGAATCCAGGAAAGGCTCTGAAAACACTGAGAAGCATCTTATCCAATCAGTGTTCACTAGAAGTCTTGTCAGAAATATCTAGAAAGTGGAAAGTCACAGGGTAAACCATCCATCTATTTCTCCATCATAATTTGAGATTGTTTAAAAAGATCTATCATGAATTGTGTTTTTACGATAGTTACTAGTATAGAAGTAGGTTAGAAGAAAGCTGGAAGCTGCCAAACGAAAACGCGACATCATTCCAAGAGGTTATTGATTTCTGTCCTGAGCCTTGTCGTTAGACAAAGACTATCTGGTTAGGATTAAACCGATAACTGCGATCAGTGATCTATGTCTTAATGGATATAATTTTTTTTACATTCTCGAACCCTAAAAATGACCCAGACAAATTTTTAAAATACTCCACATTAATCCTAGTTAAGTTAAGGGTATTTTATGTAAGGTTATAATTAAGGTTTTAGGATCGAGGTATTCATCACGTACTGATACTGTGGTGTGGGTCACTTATATCTATAAAAGTAGTATATAACTGTGGTCAGGCATAGAATGTATTTTAACAGATCAATAAGGAAAGAACGTAAAAGGAATGCAATTGGTATGAAAATGCATCAACAATGAAATCTGAGACAATGGACTGATATTTGCAAAGGAACAGTCAAATTTGAGACAATGGATTGATATTTTGCAATTTAACTGCTCACTATATGGTCCTCAGATTTTATTGAGATGCTCTGTAATTTTGTGTCGAATACATTCGATTGTCCCCACTCATGTTCTTGTTCACTATAATACCAGATATGGTGTGCAAATACCCTACAATCATGTGAGTGAATGAATGGCGCTCAAAATTTTAAGAAGTGTAATTTGATTATTTCATTCATCAAATATAATGTCACTAAGTTAAAGTTCATTTCAGGATTCAGCGTTTAGAGTTAAGATTTATGAATAGTATCAATTTGAAAATTATATACAATCTGAAGTGACAGAAGTGATATGTTGAACAGTGTCAGTGTCTTTCTCAATTCTGATTATCTCATCCCCAAAAGTATATTTCTACCTTTAATTTAGTATATATATAAACATTTTGTTGGGGAGATCCAGAAAATTCCCCGAAAAAAACCATGAAAGGCTCTGATGAAAACACTGAGAAGCATCTTATCCAATCAGCGTTGACTAGAAGTTTTGCCAGAAACATCAAGAAAGTGGAAAGTCATGTTGAGTTTCTGATTGAAAGATTACTGTACTGCTACTATGTTTAGTAGCATTTTAGAATTTTCGGGAAACCCAAGAACATCTAAAATACCAGAAAAACCCTAGATTTTCTGTACATGTACGGACTTTCGGAGTAAAGTGTTTCTTACATACTTTGCGCCTTTTCTCTCGTGTTTAAATCGCTGCATAGTTCTAGCCTGGGTGTTACTAAGAGAGCTTAGGAACCAAATCTAGCGTTCAATAAGGAAGACTTGTCACATTTCCGAAATCATCTCATACAATTGTCATTTGTGGAATTTCACAACTATTCTTCATATTTCAAACGATCAATCAAATACTTCCCTATTGACATTCATCTTCTTCTGTACTTCTGTCAATAGTTTAAATAACTCCAAATAGGAAAAATAAAACTATAAGAATCATAAATGAAGTTTCTATTTCTTCACTAAAAATAGATAACAGCTGATGACATAATAATAATAGTAAGTAAATTACTTAACAAATAATCAATAAATCAACTTTCTCTCTTCTCTTATTGGTCAATCAAATTTATCACTTCGTCAAGGTCACTGGATCATATGGGAATTTCTTTTTTTCACAGTGTACAAAATAAGGAAAGAAGATAAAATATCAGAAGGGTTTATTTGTGGTTATTATAGTAATTTCAATGGTTGAGATCAGGAGTCATTTGAAGCTAGACCACTATGGAAAATACAGAAGCACTGGATGGCCGTTTTGTCCTATTATGAGAGAGTAACTCACTGAATATATTGGTGGATGTGTCACTCCATTTCGTGAATTGTTTGAAGTTAGACATTCATACCGTTGGATGTCGGCTCAGTGGTCTAGAGGTTAAGCGCTCTCACACACTGCTGAGGAGTCTTACAATAGGACGAAACGGCCGTCTAGTGCCTCCAGGTTTTTTATGGTGCTCTAGCTTCAATTGACTCATGATCTCAACTATTGAAAAAGATTTTTAAAAAGTCACTAAGAGTACGGAATAGTTGTTTCATCCGTCAGTGGGAATTCTTGTTAGTGTTAAGAAAATGCGCATGGTCCTGTATCGAATTAAACTCAGATTACCTGTGAATCATTAAATTCAATGACTGTGATATTTTTTACATTTTTCTGGTACGTTGATTAGAATAAATATTTTACTAGTAGGTGGTGGCTAAGTGTTCGTATGCGAGACTGAATCTCCTAGGTTCGATCCCTGGTAATGAGGTCGTGTACGCGCGTTGTTGAGGAGTTCCGCACAAGAAAAAAACATCTGTTCAGTGCCTACTAGTTTTCAATGATTATTAAACAAAAATCAGTCCGAAATGTTAACTATCAAGATTTGATGGGAGCTAGGAGCTTTACGGATGCGAAACGTGACCATTAAGAGTAGAAGATACTCGTAAGCTATTAGTATTTGACAACAGATGCCTTAGAAATATTGCTCGTATCTCCTGGGATCACTGGGTAAGTAATAGTGAGGTTAGACGCAAAGTATTAGGGAATGATGGTCAATCAGTTGATGACGTTGTAAATCTTCATCGACTAAGATCGTTGAGTCACGTTGCGTATGCCTGAACACCGATTACCACGATGCGCAATGTTGACTAGGGTTGGGGATGGTTGAAAGGAAGTTAGAGGTGGCCAAACCAAAACGTGGCATCAGTGCTTGAAGTGACTAAGTTCTAGTTTGAGCCATGTTGTTAGATGCAGACTACTTGGTTGATGTTCGCGTGACTATCATACCCAATAGTTGGAGACTCTATGTGATATATGGTTGAGAGTCGATCTCAATGCCGTAGATGTCTACATCCTTTGTCTTAACTTAAACTGTGAGCTGAAAATTGCTTAATATCTTTCTTTCCACGAACTAATTCTTTCTTCCTGTACTATGTCCTTATATGCAATCTTTCTTTTATATACTACCACCATTGAATTAACTACTTTTATTAGTTTGGTGGTCATCTTGTTGTGGTAATGAGGTATGGCAACTTGGACCGATGCTTGTATGTGTCTGGTCCTACATTGCAGCTGACTGACTGACTGTCTGAGTATGACAATCCAAGGTTGAATCACTGTAGTCATTGTTTAACAAAGAATCTTGTTATTACTAATATATAAACCAAATTATTGATTCGATCTGATTTTCTTTCCGTTTACATTGTAGATCCTCACAAGTCAGTGGATACGGAATCGGATACATCAAGTGTGAGTTTGATAATTTGGAAAAAAAAATATTGTTATCACCTCCCCTCTTCTTGTATAGACTCCATAACTTTTCTAATAAATTTCTAGAATCTAGAAGATCTTCATCCACTCAAATAAAATGTTGATGGATACTTCAAAAACCCAAAGCTTTTTGAAAACGTTCAAGAGAAATGTAGATAACATCTGAGTATAATTTCCTTATCTGGACTCAAGAATTATTGATTAATAGGCACTTTAAGTATCTTCTCCACAATTTTCTGGACTATTAAAGTCGTTCATAATTCTACAAATGTCTTCCGTTTTCATACTCAACCTAACCTCTAAAATTGGCATTGTTTAGTATAGTTCTCGCCTTTCATACACTGTTTAAGGTTCAAGAGTTGGATAATATCAATTGTCTAATCTATTTTATGCTACCTATTTATGTTGTCTAACTTGTAACTAGTTTGTGGAATATTCAAATTTTTGCTGACTGGTAATTTTCTTTTCTGTTTTATTCATATAAGAAATACACAAACAGTTTAGTATTACTAATACTATCATTTCATTCGGTACTGGATATTTTGCCGTCATAAATGAGTGCTCTTTTTTAGTTGGTATTAGTGAAGATTCGTTACTTACTTGCTTGGTTACACCTGTTACTCCTCGTGACGGAGCATAGGCCACCTACAAGGATTCTCCATCGAACTCTCTCCTGGCAAACCTTTCCAGTTCTCTTCAGTTGTTATTCATCCTTTTGATGTTTGCTTCTAATTCCCGACGCAATGTGTTCTTTGATCTTCCACTTTAAGATTCCAAGTTAGAACTTGCCTCATGATGCAGTTTCGTGATTTCTGTGATGTATATCCTATCTACCTCCAGCGTCCTAATTTCCTCTTCAACTGGAAGCTGCTTTGTTCTCTCCTACAATAGGCTGTTGTTGATGGTTTCCGGCCAATGGACATTGAGTATATTGTGTAAACAATTGTTTATAAGTACTTGTACATTTTTGATGATGGTTGTGGTAGTTTTCCACGTTTCGGCTCCGTACAATAGAACTAACTATCTTAGCATTCGTATTAAAGATTGTGACTTTGATATTGGTTCACAGTTGTTTTGAGTTCCAAATGTTGTTCAACTGTAAGAATGCTGTTCTTGCTTCGTCAATCTTTACCTTTAGTTCTGCATCAGATCCTCCTTGTTCATCGATGATTCTGCCCACGTAAGTGAAATATCCCAAATCTTCCAGAGTTTCTATATCAGGTGTGACTGGTTTGGCGTTCTCTGTGTTTTATTCCACGTCCTTGGTTTTTGCATGTGTGTGTTTAAGCCTATTGATGCAGAGACTGCTACTAAAATGGTTGTTTTGGCCTGGATTTTTTCGTGTGCAAAGGGTCGAAAGGCCAGGTGACCTGCAAAATCAAAATTGTCTAGTTGCATACAAGCTGTCCATTGTATTCCGTGCTTCCTCTCAGATGTGGAGGCCTTCATAATCAAGCCAACCACCAGAAGAAAGAAGAAGAGGGGGAGTAAGCAGTCTTGTCCGACTCCGGCCCTAACTTGGAATGCGTCTGTGAACTGTCCTCCATACACGACTTTGCAGTGTAGTCCGTCGTATGAATTCCGGATGGTGATCTCAGAAACTCCATACTGTTGAAGATGGTTCCATTATGTTCATATGTCCATGACCGATCTTTACGGAATCCGGTTTGTTGATCTCGAAGTTGGATGTCTACTGAATCTTTCATCCGGTTGAGCAATACTTTGTTGAAATTTTTCCTAGTACTGATAGAAGTGTGATGCTCGGATCTCCTTTCTGAAACATCCAGGCTGTCAGCACTTGTTTCCCCCTCCCAAATCTTCCTGGATAGAGTGTGAAGCATGTTTGCAGTTTCTTCTATGTCTGACTTTAGTGCTTCGGCTGGTATATTGTCAGGTCCTGCTGCTTTTTCACTGTTAATCTGTCTGATGATAATCCTGATTTCCTCGATCGTTAATGGAGTAACAGTTATAGGAAGGTGTATGTGTGCTGCTTCGATCTCCACTGGATTCACTGGAGTTGGTCTTTTCAAAAGTTCCCCGAAGTGTTCTACCCATCTGTTCCTCTGTCCTAGAATCTCAGTGATTGTCCTGTCTTCTTTGGTCTTAACTGGTCTCTCTGGTTTACTATATTTCCCTGCTAGTTTCTTCATTGTGTCATATAGTTGTTTGATATTTCCTTCTCTTACAGCTTCTTCCGCTATCGTTGCTAGGTCTTCGTCGTATTTCTGATTGTCGGCTCTAATGCTCTTCTTCACTTGCTTGTTTGATTCAGTGTATTTGGTATGTGCCTTGACTTTCTCTGTTGTTGTTTGGGTGTCTGTTGCTAATTGCTGTCTTCTTGTTCTTTCATTCTTGAATCTTGGATCCAGGGTTTCGACAGAGATTCATTTCTTATGATGATGCCTGTTGTGGCCCAGCACCTCCTGTTACGTTGAAGTTAGTGCTTCATTGATCTCTTTACGGTTGTCCTCCATAGTAGTTTTTCCTTTTTTCAGTAGATCCTGTAAGGCTTGGAAGCTGTTGTTGAGAGTTATCTTGAATTTGTTGAGTTTGTTAGTATCTCGAAGGAAGGCTGTATTGAACCTTTGTAATTCTGTTTCCCGAGTTGTCCAGTGATTCTTCAGATCCATCTATGTCAGCTCCTCTTCTGCATCTCACGTCTTTCATTGTCCTGAAATTTTTAGTGACGCAAATATGATTGATCTTGTTCTGTGCTGTGTGATTCAGTTTGTCAATAAGATATAATTGGTTTTTTGATCATCGTCGCCATCAGTATCTTAAAAAGATTGTTAAGTTAATTTAATCATGATGCTTGTTTTTGGTCGTACTGAACTCATTAACTGATTGTTTAGTCTGGGTGTTAAATCAGTTTTTAAGAAATGTAGCCGAATTAAGGTTCATGAACTCCATTGTTTGTATGTGAACTAGTGTCACTCGCCGGATCACATTACTGACGAGCGGGTTCGAACGCATGTCCTATTGTTTGAAATAAAATATCAATTTCTAAAATGGTGGAATGTTGAAGAAAGTTGTTTTGATAAAATGTAACGAAGCCTAGTTTATTCATTTAAATGATCAACTTCTGATGTCCATTTCTTCGAGTATTTATGATGCAATAGAAAATATTGATTCCCGACTGAAGATAAAATAGTAAGTCGGGTATAATCTGTATAGGACCTTATAGAAATTTATAATAAAATCAACTCACCCAGTTCTCAGAGGTGTATACAAACTGTCGAAGGATCATCATCATTCTATTGTAAGAATTTCGCCCGAAAGATATTTTCATATTGATTGAACCAGGGTTGGAATGTCACATCTACTTGAAGATCAAGATGGAATTCTTTCATTCATTGAGTTAGATAACAACTCGATTATTGATTTCATTAAATCAATTGAATAACGATGTAAGATTGATTTGAATCGTAAGTCTTTTTCGTCATCTAATTTCAATGGATTTCAACTATGGTGTTTAAATTTTCATTTTCTACCGCATAGAGACCGACTGATGAATTGTCACCATTTAATGTTAAATTTTTAGGTTGCCCGATGAGTTACAGATACACACGTTTCCCATACTTCATCTACTCAATGCGAAGACTAAAAATGATTAGAAAGATGCACTTGGCAACTAAATATTATTGTACACAAATCATTGATATATATGTTCATTGAGCTTATAAGCCAAAACTTAAATAAAGTACATAATGAGTCTCATCCAATAGCATGCATCATTTGTCATCTTTCACTCAGTGCTTAGCCTTGAGGGGCACCATGTGAGAGTAAATTCACGTGTTATTTCTGATTAGCTCAGCCTATCACAACAGAAAACTAGCTTAGTATTATAGAAGTATAAGATAATGATCTTTTTAAAAGTTTTAATGAATATAAAATATGAATAAATTAATGTCATTTTAATGAATTTCAAGCTTTATCGTCCGGTATCTATCACTAAAGTTATCTCTATGTGTTCTATTTTCTTACTTGGTTATTTCCTAACATACTTGTGGATACGCAATGTATTCCGATCACTGAATAAATACTTGTCACCTTGGTGAAATGTTTAAATCATGTCCGTATTGCTGTAAACGGTATAAGTTTTGGTATATCATGATATAAATTCTTTTGGAAGGTATTTAGCACGAAGTCATACTTCATGCCTAATGCCCATTTTTGATGTAGTTTTGTTTTTTATACTCTGCCAAAGTCATCCATCTAATCTACAAATCTTCTCTACCATCACTAAGTTCCCTGTAGTTGACAGTTGTCAAGGAAGTGATGCTCGACTTCAGGATTGGATCTTGTATCACTTATCGTCAAGTGTTAAAGATGCTTGCTCTGAGATATTCAGACTATGACTGACTTTTTATAGAATTAAGATATTTGTACATATTGTCCAACCAAATTATCTAACAATTGACAACATAACATATCATATTATTGACTATCTTAGATACAATTTTGTATCGTGTTACTATTCAATGGAACTGGATATTCAAGTTTAGTCCAAACTTATAATGCATATTTGTTGTTATTATCATTACTATCTTTTCAATGTTCATGATATTCACAAATTATTGCATAATTTTAGCAATCATTTTGTTTTGGTTTTCAGGTATTCTCTAGCAGTGGTAAGTTAATTATTTCATATAAATATATGTTTACTATAAACAATATTAACTATTGAATAACTACTGAATATACTGAGATGGTGGAAAAGATTTGTAGGTTAGGTGGATAATTTTGATGGAATTTTGTTCTCTGAGCTGGATGGTTCGGTCATAGAGCTTTCATCGTTCTTCTGAACGACATCATCAGCACAAACTTCAGATAGAAGTGAAGTTGGTATTTGATGCAACTTCAAAACATTCCGACTTGCTTGAATTTTGACAAATAGCATCAATTGTAGTGTAGGCGATATATCATCCGTCTGACAATCAAAAGAAGAGTGTTACTACACAGCTGTTCATTTCCTTCTCATTAATCAGTGTGAAACGTGACCATTAAAAATAAGTAATGTTCCTAGCATTATAGTATATGATTATAAATGCCTAAGTAGTATTGTATACTAAAGTGACCAAACCAGAAGCAGCGTACTAGGTAAAACAAAAGTAGCCAATCGATTGATGAGGTAGTGAATTCTAATCGATTGAAGTGGTTGGAACATGTATTAAGCTGGTAGATGCTTGTTATCTGATTAGTCTGTCTTAACCAAATAACTCAAAACGTTGGATGAAATGACTCTGAATCAAAATTCTGTTCACTCTTTGACCGAGAGTTGATATTTGATACACACTCATTCTGTACATGAACCCCGTTACTCATGAAAATAGACAGAGTGAGAAAAGAAGTTTATTTGTCTAAATTGAATCACAGACATCTCGGTAAGACTATAGTTAATGGACAACCTTTGAGCGACGCTAGACTGACCTTGAGAGTGTCCACTTAACAACTAGGACCAAATGAGGGCTATAAAGAAGTGTGAGGAATTAGAATTATGATTTACAGTTGATGTTTAAGGTTAGAAATTAGATTGAGGGTTTTCATCATGAACTGACATCAGCTATAATGCTAAAACTTTATTTACCCAAATAGATGAGTGAATTTCGCGCCGAAATCCGAGATCTATTATCTCATACATGATTGTTTGTCCCTAAATTATCGTTTCGCCGACATTTCTAATCATCTGCATATTAGTATGCCTTTCCTTTAGAAAATTAAGTCTACCATTAGCTTGTATCGTTCCGTGAAAATGAAAATCATTTCTTGCCCAGTCACTTACACCTATCGGTTAAATATGTTTGATTGGTTCACTGTATTCGTTTATCTCTCAGATTTTGAGTTTCGAAATTATTTCATTCTTTAATCCTTACATCTGGAACTACATTTTTCATGCCTAATAGTTTCCAACATGAATGATAATGTAGTAATCACTATTGTGTAAGATTTGTTTTGATAATTTCACTTTACTACTTTAAAGTGGTGTGCCAGATTCTTAAGTTCCTTATGACTAACTGACATTATGTTTGATTATATTGACGCACAGGTTGTTTTGCGGTGTAGGCCCACGGTCTAATATTGATGTTAATGAAATATATATATATTACTTACCTCGACTAATCTCATTAATAACGACGTAGATTTCAGACGTTCGATAGTATGGACGAACGACAAAAGATGAAAAAAAAATGCGTATGAATCACTGAAGCGTCAAAAATGACCAGCTCATTGAGTTATAAGTAACTCAGTATCTATAACCATGAAACAGATACAAGTGAGTATACACACTCATAGGCACTAACATACACAAATGTATAAACTGTGATCAGGGTTACACATGAGTATTTGGTATGATCAAACTTATAGGTGATAGGACCAAAAAAGATGATTAGGATAACGTATCTAACTAGAGGTTAGGACAGATTAAGTTAGCGTCTAATAACAGAAAATCACTACAACAGTACTGTTCATCAATCTTTTATTTCCTCTGTTGACTTTTAGGCCCACCAAGACCAATCTCTTCGAAAATTGGGTCGTTTCAAAATGCAAAACATAAACCAGGAGGTGGAAATGTAAGTTTATTGACTTCCATTTTTTTACCTATTCGCCTATTTCTACTTATTTTTACAAACTTAGTAACAGTCAATAGCCCTGATCTCAAATTTTTAAAGACAGTTTTTATCTAAAATTCACTATTTTTACCCACTTGTCCATCATCGATTAGCATATCTCACCTATGACCCCACCACAGATTGAAATCCAAACATTTATATCTCACGCCAACCGCTTGACTTTTAGACCAGTGAGTTAACATCCCATGATTTACGTTCCTAATTTCAATCGATTAATAACATTGTGCAACTATCATCTAATGCGATTGATGGGGCAACTGCTTCACTGAAGATATGTTTGAATGCAGCTGGTCATAACTTCTTATTGGAACTGCGAGAACTACTTCTTAAAATTAATCACTAATGAGCAATTAATAATCATTTGTGGAGATTGTTGTATTTCATAGTTTATCTCTTTGAAGCCATCAACAATCGAATTCAAAAAATAATTAATATCCCCTCTATATTTATCAAGTGGTAATTGACCTTTTCATTATGTTTCCTACCTTTCCATCCTCTTCAGAGAATAGCTTAGTATGACACTAAATTAAAAGTATTGGTTTTGTTAATTAAATTCCTTTCTCTCACACATCCACACACACGCACACTTTCTGTTCACAGTGATATACGTTATATGTGATATTCTAGATACAATAACAATTAATTCTATTTACAATTGATTGATAACTAAGTAATGACTAATGCCACATATGTCAATTCCTTCTTAGTGCTGATTGAATTGCAACTTGGTCGACAGAATCAAATCAGAACTAAAGAAGGAATCGATATACATGACATTGGTCACTACTACTCAATGATCAGTAAACTGAAAATACATCTCAGTCGTACAGGAGTTCAGTTTCTGTTCGAATAACTCGTTAATAACGTCTATCACAGTGAAGCTAAGCCACGCGAGATCAAATCCAACAGGGAGCATTGGTTTCCTCAATATGACAGTGTTAACTAGTACAAAACATAGGTTAACTATGGTGTTCTGTCAACTATTTTCATCCAACACCTTACAATTAACACTAAGATTAATAAAAATAACCATACTGGATAATAGGTGACAATGTATATATCCATGCTTGTTTTTAACAATGTTGTAAAACACATTAAATTACATTTTCATCCCGATGAAACAAATAAATATTTGAAAATTGAAACTAACCTTAAATCACCAAGGTAATACAGTTAAAGTTTATGGATTATTAAAAAAATAAGGTGTGTGTGTGTGTAAACAATTTTAATGCATGAGCAAATTTAATGGTAGAAAGTAGGTCGATAAAAGGAGGATCATTTTAAAGCAATCAGTCCATAAAATCATTGATAATGTTTTGTATTGTTTACTGGAGTGTGGATAGAGATGATGATGATAATGTGTAACTTTTGTGGCGAGACTATAGTTTACGAACAAACAATCAGGTATAAGATAACAGATCTCGAATTTTGGCACGAAGTTCACACCTCCATTTGGCTAAATAGACTTTTAGCATTACAGCTGATGTCAAATCTAATTCTTAACTTTAACTATCAGTCAGTCAGTTAACAACAACATAGAACATCGTACACACGTACATCAGTTTTAGTTGCTATACCACATTATCACAAATATACAATTTTTCATTCAAATCCCATAGTGGTAGAGGTAATGAAAGTATAAGCAGTAATCGGAAACATTAGGGTTTGAAGATGTTATTCAAGGAGTATAATCCAGTGAAATAAATTTGGAAAGAGAAAAAAGAAATGGACATGAAGAATTCAGAAGATAAGAATTTGGAGAACACAAAGAGTGAATGCACCTGCACTATTGCAAACGATTTTGAGCCATGTCATTCAAGGTCTCTAACCATCGATTGCTATCGTCTTGTGGATCTGTTATAATGGTTGGTTTTCCAACGTTTACACGTATGGGACGTCAATTTACCTTCAACGATTATCTACACTAGATTCCCTCCCAGTGTCTATTCTGCAGGACGTCAGCACAACTCAGATCAAGAATGTGTGATTAGCCTGACTAGAACGTAAATATATTTCCACACTAAAATCCAACAACAATGAACAATCAATAATAAGTAATAATAAGGATAGAGGAATATATAACTCATCTGATACCTGTCAGACTATCTACATGTCTGACTAAGCAGACAACCAGTCATTTTCATTTTCGCCCACACATCAGGATCCCAACCAGTTAGTAGATGTAGACCTACCAACATGGCTCAGTCCACTTGTCAGTGACTTCATGGAATTATGCCATGTTTTGTTCTGGTCGCTCCTAGCTTTCTTCCAACCTACAACCTTAATCATCAACTCTTAATCATAATTCTAATTCCTCACACTGCTTTATAACCTTCATTTGGTCCTAGTTATAAGGTGGACACTCTCAAGGTCATTGTAGCGTCACTCAAAAGTCATTCATAAATTATAGTCCCATCGCTTTTATAATTCCTTATAGTCTAAGTCTTAGAAATAAATTATTTTGACTTGATAAACCTTCTGTCTCAACGGTTGAATCAGTTTCTTTAGCTCTTCTAATAACTCCAGGCTAAATTGAAACGAAAACTTCAACACGAATAAAAGGATGCGAAATCTGGAAACGATGTTCTACTCCAAGGTTAGGTTATGTACAGAAAATTGAGGGTATTCATAGCATTCCAGGTGGCTTTGGGCTTCTGGAAAATTCTGGGACCCTACTAAACATAGCAGCAGGATCGATAATCACCCAATCAGAAATGTGGCACGTGACTCTATACTTTCTAGATGTTTCTGAGTGACTTCTATTCAAACTGATTAGATAAAATGTTTCCCAGTGTTTTCAGGGCCTCTTTAGGCTTTTTTCGAGGAATATTCTGGGTCACTCCAACACGATTCATATCTGATAAATTGATGATTTACTGATCAATTTAAAAAATCTCTGTATAGATATAAAATAGCTTGTTTAGAATTATTCCTTTATCATCGTCATTTTTAATGTTGGTAAACGCAGTTCTATCACTCAGGCATACGGAACGTTGAACCTGGGACATATGTGCGTTGATTCGATTTGCCGCATTATGTTGGGACAGGGTAATTAAATTATTAATCGGATAAGCGTCGGTGTATTAGATTAAGTGGTAGTGTAAAATACGAAAATAGGCAGGAGAAATGTTCTAGTAGTGCGAAAAGTTACAAATTAATTCCATAACCTTCAACCGTCCATTTGCATCTCTTCACCGTGTTCTGTCATCTGAACTGTCTTCTCGTCTGATCTCCAAGTGTTCTCCTAGTGCTATGCTTTCGATCCGCTGAAACTTTTAACTCCGTCTGACAATTGTAGTAACTTCGACACCGTGTTCCGCTATACAGTCTTGTGAGTAGCGTCCACTATAACAGTATTATTAGTGGTAGATTACCTAAAACATAGACAATATGATTTAAGAACGATGTATTTGCGGTGTTATGACGTTCTCTACTTCTCACTTCACGAATCAAAAACTCGGAGAAAAATTCAATAATTGAAATCCTGATTTAATCTCCTCGAGTTCCAGTATTTTGGTCGCTCCATCGACAGACTGCTCAACCTGACCAATCAAATACCTAGGCTAGTACGGGTAACCTTGAGCGTTAACGAGATAATCTTGACTCTTATTGGTCCATTGATATATACTCCTTCTTCTATTCCCACCATCTTGGGTCCGGACAAAAGAGCACTTCAGGCCAACTTCTATTATCTACATTACAATCATCTAGTATGTTTTTCATATCAGACACTCAGTTTATATCCATTTATTGCCAGATCGCAACTCATCGTAAATAATAAATTATTCTGTACAGAAAATCATGTCATAAGTGACAGAGAACGGAATAAACAGTACACAATTAGTGAATAATAATAAAACAACAACCGATAGATCTAACGAAAACTCGAAATACCAGGATTGTATAAACGCTATCATCCAATGATTCATCTGATTTTTTCTGGTTAGAATTTTTCTATCAATATTCTTTTCTATGGGATTGTGTTGCCAACTTCATGCCTAACCCTCCTCCTTTATTCGGGTTTATGACCGGCAGTAACCGTGAAAGGGCTTCAGGCAGAGTAAAGTATCTCTATTAGCTATATGATAAAAATATAAACAAAATTAATTTGTGAATTAATCCCAAAAGTTCCAGCATCTTCAACCCTTGTCACGTTATAACACACGGAATAAAAAGTTTAGTATGATTTTGAAACTCAACATCTATGAGAAGATGATTTTAAGTGCTGTTAGTGGTGTATGAGTGGTAGTTACTCTCCAATTGTTCACACAATGAGAGGATACTTCTTGGGGAGATGAACAGGAAATTGGATTAACGGTCATCTTGACCTCTTGTGAGTATGCTGGCAGAAACCAATGGATTACTACTTGAGACTGGCTATTCACAACTCTCTGATAAATAATTTTTAAAGGTTATTACCACTGGGAATGTAAACTAATGGATGAAGGCGAAGTGTTATATTTTTACGACCAACTACATTTAACTCCTTTCCGCTGTGGAAATGTAGCATCAATAGAGGTACTGACTTCTCAAGGAAAACCCCGTACGTCCGAGAATACGACTTCGCCCTCAAACCCTGATTTTGGTACTTTTTATCTTATTATCTCCGGACCGAGTTGCCCGGTATAGTGTAACTGTCAAGATTCCCGACAAAGCGAAAGTCTAACGTATAACAGTTAATTGTGTTGTATTTTATGGCTACGAAATGTGGTCATTATGAATATAAAGAACATGCATAGATTATTAGTACTTGAGAACGTTGCTGTGTACAGTGGAACAAACAAATGAGTAATTGCAAGTTGTGTGTGGTTTTAGTGGAATGAGCGATTTGATGAATAAGAACGTTAAGCATTTATTGATTATACTGATTACGAAATGGGTTGTATATGCTTAAACCACACCACCTATATATAACGTTAACTCTTTCTGGGACAGAATTGACTTGAAAATAAAAATCTAAAGTGAATAAGATTAAAACGTAGTATCAGTTTACATTAAGTCACTGACTGTTCAACTGAGCTGTGTAACGAAATGAATATTTACTAGCTTGACAGAGTACTTGATAATTGTGATCAACTATCGACAACGTTATACAATCACATGGCTTCAAATTGATAGTCCAAGACATTGATTTTTAACATTATTCCTCAATTTTTTGGTTTCACAGATCCATTTATTTCTTTATTTTGAACTAGATTGGTTTTATAATTGTCTATTATTAATTGCAACAGCTGAATTCGTGAGTCAATCTAAGCTCGATGACTATTAAAAACTTGAAACCACTAAACGACCGTTTCGTCCTAGTATGGGTTCTAGTCCCGCTTGCGGGATCGTTTATACTCGCTGCTGAAGAGTCCTATACTAGGATGGGACAGATTTTCAGTACTTTCAGGTTTCTAACAGTAGTGTCTCGCTTAGATCGACTGATGAATTTAACTGTCCAAAATACTACAATCGCCACAGATCTCCATTTTGATATTGTGGCGAGACTCTAATTTATGGACGGCCTTTGAACGAATCTTAGGTGACCTTCAGAAATATTAGTCAATCAGAAAACAGTCAGTATAGAGTAAAAATATGTTATACAAAACCAAGGAAATAAAGTGGATACACTTATACGTGGTTCAAAAACTTGTCAAGGTTAGAAAGAGGTTCAGAGGTTCTAAAATCGTAATGCATGAAGTAGAGGAAATCATCCATACGGCTACAGAATAGTCGGTATCTGGAACCATGATAAAGTCTCAAAAACTCTTTCACCCTCGACCACATAGCTTCAATATTGTTTATATGTACTCCGGTTGTTGAGTGCACTAAATGCTACTTGTGGATAACGACACGATGCACATAACCAAGCCTATGTAGGAGTCTGTACGTTCTCCAAACTTCCGTATATATTGTAGTGACTGGCTGCAGCCAGTGTTACTGGTGCTTTTATTATTCAGTTCGCGATAATTATCATAATTTGCCTTAGTAAGGAATTATATATAGAGTTTTCATCACAAACTGACATCAGTTATAATGCTAGAAATCAATTTAGCCGAATGGATGAAAGGCTTTCGCGTTAAAATCTGAGACCTATTATCTTATCGTCCACAAATCATAGTCTCGCCGTTTTATTTGTTATAGCCACTCAATAATCACGTTTTGTACAAAATTCCCTGTGAACCGATCGTACATTAGCATGAAGCACTGAAGTTGGCGCCGTGACCTTGAAATATCTAAAACGCTTCTGATTATCTCGTCCATAAATTAGAACCTCACCGATATTATTGATTGTATTACAATTTCAACTTCGCATTTAATCATCATATATATATAAGATGAAAACTACAGGAATTTAGTTCTGTTATATTGAAAATAGACATGTTCCTATTATCGATCTTCTTCAACATTGAATAGATTTAATTTAATCAAAGATTATACTGTTTACTTTTACTTTATCCAGCTCTTATCTATATTCTATCTTTGTTTATATTTCAATTTTATATATATACATATATATATGCACACACACACACACACAGGTACTTCATCCAGAAGTCGAACAAATTTATTTCGTTTAATGGTGTAGTTTTTTTCTTCTTATTTTAATCAAAAATTTGTTTGATAATGGTGTAAACAATAAAAGATCATTTACAATTTCTTTTCTCTTTTTTCTTAGATTATGTTATTACTGTTGTTGTTGTTTTTCTAGGTACAAATTTTCAATGAAAAAGTAATTGTGAATACAGTTGCTGGAAAATGTAATTCATTAGCTAATGTCAAGCATAAACCAGGTACCATAATGTGAATGTTTATATAAGTGTGTGTGTGTGTATGTGTTCAAGTACTCCTTTTTTCTTCTTTGTATACATTTGTCTTGTAAACTGAATCAAGATTAATTGAAATGATCGGAAAACTTTCTAGTTACAATTTATTTGATTAAGTAAACAATTTATTTAGTTTATAATAAGGAAATGTTTGTTATTGTTGTTGATATTACACAGTTTCAATTTTAACTAGTCTTTGTTAGTATATCTATGCATCTTATATGAATTGTCTTATGTTATAAGATTACATAGAATAGATGAAATGTGGTTAAAACAGTGGGATTCAGAATAGACGTTTTGTTCTATTTTGAATTGATCCGTATGTATTAGAATTTAGGAACTATCTCAGAGTGAACATAAACTCTCTGGGATGCAGGTACATCCATCTGACGAGTTCCAAATAGGACGAAACGCTCGTCCTGGATTCCACTGCTAGACACTATTCATCTTTGTTTACAAATAGAGCTTGTGAATTAAGGTAATATCTAGGCATACGCACAGTATGCACATATGCCAATAACAGACTGATCAATTGCAGTCTTAAACCTCAATGGGAAGATACAAGCCAAACAATACTAAGTGAATCAACTTTTTATATACTGAGCTAGACAATCTTTCTTTTATATATTACCACCACTGAATTACCTATGAAAAATTCGGTGTTCATCATGTTGTGGTAATGAGGTATGACAACTTGTACCGACTCATATGTGTGCCTAGTCCTGCGTTGTAGCTGACTGACTGACTGATAACACTGTAACTCCTGACCATTTGGTTCATATGTATCCAGATAGCAAGAAACTCTCATGCTGAATTCCACAGTTATTGACAATTCATCTGTTTTAATTAAATTGTGGACTGACTTATCACTTATAACAATAATAATAATAATGATACATGCTTTACCTAATACCATATATTTGGTTACACTAAGGAATTTCCAGCAGTACAAATTATATAGTATTAAAATAGAATTTAGAGAACATAGATACTAAAAATATGAGTAGAGTGACTTAATTACCAAACCAAACAACAGTGTACATAGATCATGAGTATTTATTTATGTTATTTATCATTCCTCAACGTAAATAAAAACATATGAGCCATGACTAAAGCATAATGTACTTTTTTCAATATTATACCTCTTGCATAATATCTCCCTAACCATTTAACCTTTTAGAGAAATGTAAGTGTCCACCTTTGTGCTTTAATACACTCAGTCAAATAAATCACTGACATTATCGTTAATAAATCATCATCGAATCCCGTGAGTGGGATCGTGGATGCGCACTGCTGAGGAGTCCTACAATAGGACGAAACGGCCGTCCAATGCTTTCAGGCTTTCAATGGTGATCTGACATCAACCGGTTCATGATCTGAATCAAAAACCAACAAAAGCACATTTACGGACAAAGATTTATTAATCGTATCTTAAACTAATTTCTAACATCTTGAAGAACGAATCAAGGAAGTGTACACTTCTTATAAACCATATTAGACTAACACTAAATACTTTGATGTTGAATATCTTTAATAAGTGTATACTTTTCAATTCCATCCAATCAATGTCAGATGACTATTCTATTCTATTTCAATATTGATTTGTACAACAGCTGATTTTTATCATTCAGTCAAAACAAACAAATTCAATAATCAATCAATGTAAATATCTCAGTGTTACAGATGGTTGTTTACAGTAGAACTAGATCATTAGTGTAATATCTTAGTTTGTGAAATTTAGTGACATAGATTTGAATCCTACCAAGAATATCTATTGCTTCAAAGTTAAAAGTACTACATCTTATCAGTTTAGGGGTCGTGGAGATTGTTAAATTTTTGATTGAGATCATGAACCGATTGATGTTAGACCACCATTGAAAACCTGGAAGCACTGGACATCTTAGATAATGAGTGCCAACTTGCATGGAACCTAGGTTGAACAAAGTTTATTGTTGATTGACTCTATAATAGGTAACATCAAATTAAACAATTTTCATACGAAATCCATTGATGAATTTTAAAGCAGAGTAATATTTTTGGTTAGTATCGGGAGGGGGGGGAATCATGGAGATTGTTGAATGTTATCGAGATCACGAATTGACTCAAGTAGTACAATTATTTAAAACCAGGAAACCTTAAACATCAGTTTTTTTCCCTTAAATGGGTGACCACCTAGGCAGTATACATCTGCCACCCAATTGGACGTCAAGACCAGAACGTTTAGGTCTCTTTGTAAGCGCCTAACCTTCCAACCTGTTAGATAAGATAAATTAGTTTATATTTTTAAATTCTGTTAATTCATTCTATTTCACAACCATCATTGATAGGTAATTCTTTAACTTCCAAGACGATTGACCAATGAACATTCTCAATCTGTACAAGGAAAAAGCAAATATTCAATGCTTCCTGATGTTCACTGATTATTTATCCTAAGTTGATTTATCAAATAAAAATGTATCTGTAAATGTTGTATGCTTTACGTAACTCTTTTGTTCTGATTTTATCTTTCTATTATAAAGGTGGAGGAAATCTACAAATTATTGATCAAAAACTGGATTTTTCATCTAATACACAATCGAAAGTTCGATCCTTTCAAAATATTAAACATGTTCCTGGTGGAGGTGACAAAAAGGCAAGTTAACGACTAAATAAATGAATAATTTATACATGAATTAGCAAAGATCACATAGAATCTGTGATCAGTGTTGAAATGGAGAAAGTTATTCATGTTCTGGTATTGAATGATGATTGTACTATGATGCAAATTAACAGTTTGTCAAAGAGGTAGCTTAATTATTGCAGGATTATATTTACTGGTTGTAAAGCCTGTAGGTTAAACATTCGACCCTGTCTTTTACATCATTGGTGTGCTCTGCTGAAGAGTTTCAAGCTTAGAGGAAACTCTTCAGTGTTTCTTGATGCTTAGTAGTTCAACCATATCATCAGATGTGAGACAGACATCGATAACAACGTATGATACTCGGACTACAATATAACTAAAGTTAAGAATTCACGATGGTTTGAAAAATTCCATTGTTGATATTAATGGGCGAATATCAAACAGTCATTGTTGACATGTAAAAACCAGTAAATGGATTGTCTTGATATAACCACTTTGTCACATGTTTTTACAAAACAGAAGGATTATGGCTAGTATTGGAACATAAATCCTGTGTGTCGTCCTATCTGTAACTTATAAACTGGGTGCATTTTTATCGTCATGTAAATGTTCACTCTCAAATTCTAAACTAATACCTTTCGCTTTAGACCTCAATTTGTTATTAAAAACGGCATCAATTCTGAATGTACCTATGCCAACAGAGTAGTTGAAAATTTAATCTGAAATATCAACAGCGAAATAAGACGAATTATTAGTTGTTAGTTATCTGGACTCGGTGAATAACGCTCTGGCGTTCGAAGTGATTGGCTATGAGTTCAAGTCTGTGTAAACAATAATACTGCGATATAGATACATTTAACTAAATATTATTTGAATTACACTTTTTAACCACAGTTCAGATATACTAAAACTGAAGATTGAAATGTTAACAATCTAGATTTTATGAGACTCATTGACTTAGAATACGCAGATGATATACTTCTTTTTGAAGAAGACGCTGACAAAGTGCAGAGAATTTCGACCACTTTAAGCAACAATAAAACATTTTTGGAATGTGATTCTCACCCTCCCATTCCAGAATGCTGCTCCAGGACTGGCCTGTGTTGACACCTGAGGTAATGATAAGATGTGAAGTAGTTTAGCGTGTCAATCACTTTACTCATCTTGGAAGTGTCATCAGCCCTATTAGTTTGGCGTCTGACAAGATCTCGAAATGGATTCAGAAAGCTTGATTAGAAGCTGCCAACTTGTTTCATTTGTGACGTAGATGAGATACCCATCTACCAAATAAAGGATGAGTGTACTGCGCAGAAGTTCGCTTTATTCTACTTTATGGGTGTGAAACATCATGGCCTTTAGAAGTAGGAGATATTTTGTAGGTTACTGGTATTTGATCATAGGTGTCAAATATTAAATAACTGATCTATTTGGAGTTTCATTCTCTGAGCTGAATGGTTTAATCGTGGAGCTGTCATAGTTCTTCTGATGAGATATTGTTCCACAACCAAACCATCCAACTCACAGAGCAAAACTTTGCACAAATCATCCATCTGAGCTACAAATTTTTTGTACCATTAAATTACTGACATTTCTTGACTTGGTTATATATGATTTTAATAGTTGAATTCATGAGTCGATGTAAGCTAGACTACCATTGGAAACTTGAAAGCACTGGACTGATAAATTCAACTATTAAAATCACTAGAATCTCCACAAACCTCCATTGTAATAATACTCATCATGGAATCGCTAGTGGATGGATTTTCTGAAGTTCTAGTGAGAAGCCATGACTAGTGGAGTCCAATCCGTGTCGAGTAGAGACATGTATCGTTGCACAATATCATGGATCGATTGAACTTAGGCATTAACACCGTCGAATGCCAGCTCAGTGGTCTAGAGGTTAAGCGTTCACACGCAAGACTAAAGATCCTGGGTCCAAATCCCAAGTATGGAATCGTAGATGTACACTATTGAGGAATCCCATACTAAAACGGAATGGCTGTCTAGTGTTTCCAGATTTTCAATTGTTGTCTAGCTTAAAATAATTCATGAATTCAATTATTAAAATCACTACAATCTGTATACCCCCCACCAGCACCAATTTTAGTTATACATCACTTCTTAACATCAATTAAATACCATATAATCAATATATATTGTAGTTGATAAGTAGTAAATTGAAACTGTTAATCATTACTAATACATCATCTTGTCAACTATTTTTAATGATAATGAATCTTTATATTAAATCATCTACTGTTTATAACATGTTTTATTCTTGTATACATATATCATATCTAACTTAAATCTACTTGACAACATAATTTTTATTGTTGTTATTTCTAAAGATAAACTCCTGTCATCATCTTCTGTTCACAGGCAAGGTATATTACACATTTGTATACACATAAATACACAAATCTAAGTAATAAACATTGCTTTATTGATTCATTTACTCTATCGATTAGTTTATCGATTGATTGATTGATTGGTTAAGTGTGATTGGGATCCATGTTTTTTTAATATTTTTTTGGTTTATTTTTAGATACCTGTTGAGAAATTAGATTTTAAAGAGAAAGCATCACCAAAAGTTGGATCACTTGCCAATGTGAAACATAATCCAGCGGGTGGTGATGTGAAAGTAGGTGAATGTTTCTTTTCTTCACCCATTTTTTTTGTTTTGTTTAAATGAATAATTTCAAAGTGAAAAGCTATGACTTGTGAAGTTCAACTATTATATGTGTTAAGTGTGAAAAACGGGTTGATGGTAGCGTTATGTTTACGTCACTGTTGGGAAATCTCAAAGTTGTACATCAAAACAATCTATCTACATTTGATATTGAAGTTTTCTTACTCTGTTACTATAGTACACAAACTACCGATAAACAAGCTCTCAACTGGCGGTTACTAAGTGAGAAGACTAAGAGTAAAGAAAGAAATCATTTCCTCGCTAATAACATGCATTTACCAATTAAGAAATTCTTGTTTGACACAACATGACCTTCTTATTTGGTGACTTTTAATTGACACATTGTATCATTTCCCAACTTTGTTCCCTCTAAGTTTTTTTTTAGATAAAAAGCTGATCTGTTGAAGTCCCTCAAGCCTAATACCTATAATTCCTATCGATAAAATCAATAAAATAATCATTTGATTGACTTTAGCTAAAATAAACGGGTTTATTCGTCCAAGAAGCAGTGACAAGACATCAAATATGACCTTAATCTAAGTTCATTCTCTAGTCAGTTTGCTATGTCTTGCTTTAATTAAACGAGCAAGCATCAAGCGTTTAATCTTCTTCCTATTCATAAAATATGCTTTCTTGAAGAATTCACCTACTAACTTGCGTAATCGAATTACTCCATAGTTTCATACACATACGAACTCTCTTCATGTGGAACTAAACTATACTGACAGTCGTGAAACAAATGAAACTAACTTATCGGAATAAACTTCATGGAAATCAAGAACCAAAGTTAAACTACCATTGAAAACATAAAAACAATGGATGGCCGTTTCGTCCCAGTATAGGACTCCTCAGCGGTGTGCAGAGTGACCAGCTGAAGAGAATATTAGTCCGTGAAATGATTAACTATGAATGATTGATACTTAAGAGTACATGTATGATAAGCATATATAAAGATTAGTAGACAAATGAAATTATAAGCCTGACAGACAACTGTTAACATTGTCAAATCAAATGATGCTTTACCATAAAATATAACTTGACTTAATTCATAGCTACTACACAAGGGAATGGCTATCTGGACTCAGTAGCTAACCTGAGAACACATCCAGCTTTTGAAGCGAACGTCACTGGGTTTTAGTCCTAGAATGAATATCTATTCTGGGATTCAGGTCAATCCAGCTAATGAAACACAAATAGAATGAAATGCTCATCTTGGGTTCCACTGCTAGCTACTTGACTTTTTTTTATCAAAGTGAAACTTTCAAGATAGATTGATAATGCTTCTTCGTTATACTTTTCAAAAGTAGACATTATGTCACAAGATCTTTCGATTAGTATGGTTCAGTTCTTTTGTCTATTCTTTCATATCGGTAGATATACTTATGTTCAAAAGCTTGTCATACTTAGTTGTACAAAAAAATTGTTACAGTCACATACTGACGTTAATTAGACAATCATTGACAAATAAAAAGATAATGAGTAGTTGTTTCTTCTTACTATGAGAGTTCTCGATAGTGACCATGCACGACTCCGCTAAAGATGTAACTCAGATCTCTCAGTGAATGCTTTGTTTCCAGATCACTGAGGTTAATCAGTCAATATGTCAGAATCAGCAGTGAGCTTTGAATGTATGTGCGCTAGACCAGATTCACATACTACATCTTTATACCAAGATGAAAGTAACTAGATAAATAACTAACAAGTCAGTGATTTCAGGTGAGAGTCCTAGACCATGGAATGAAAAAGTATGTGTGAAGAAATACTGAAAATAAGGATCTAGAAAGAAATAAGGAGTGATTGTATCTCTCTTACTGTGACCAGTTCTAAACCATATCACTTTACGTCTTCAATCAATGATCTCGGTTATCGAACGAACCCCGTTAGATAATTTGTATTTAACAGTATAGGTCAGAAAAAAGTCACTGGCCATCATCCACTGTCTTTAATGATACTATTCTTACCCCATTGACATAATAGAACTTCATCTTTTACAATTTTACTTCAAATGTGTTGGGACTGTGTACTTGTAATCTTAAGAGAAGTGGTGCTCCCTGACAGATTCAATCTCGTGTCACCTAGCTTCACAGTCAGAGACGTTACCATCGGGCTATCTGGGCTGCGACTAATTTCCTGTAGGACTGAGATTTATTTACAACTGATTGATCACTGGGTGGTGATCAATGTCATGTGTGTCAAGTACTTTTCAGTACAGATCGAAACCTGGGTCCAGGGTGTCCTTTTGACTCCCTCCAACCACCATCTTATCTCAATACAGTGCACGCAATGTCGAGTCACCTAGACTAGTGATCACACTGTAACTTGATCAATAGGATTCAATCTACATTAAGAAGGATCTGACACATATTATATTGATCACCACCCAGTGATCAATCAATTATTAAAATGTTGTCCCATATATCTGAACTAAATAACTGTCTATTAGTTATTTTAATAGTTGAGATCATAAGTCATTTGAAGCTAGATCACCATAGAAAACCTGAAAGCACTGGAAGGCCGTTTCATCCTATAGTGGGACTCTTCAACAATGCACATCCATGATCCCTCCTCGAGGGATTGGAAATCAGGACCTATCATTCTCGCACGCTGCTGAGGAGTCCCACAACAGGACGAAGTGACTTTCCAGTGTCTTCAGGTTTTCTATGGTGGTCTAGTTTCAAGTAACTCAGAAACAGAGAAGAAAAAAAGGAAGAAAATTTTTCTTTAAATATTGAACTTAATCTTGATGAATTTCTTGAAAATTCTTTTCTTTTTTTTCTTATTTTTATTCAAAGATTTTCAATGAACATCTTCCATGGTTAAAATATAATAAACCAAATTTACCAGATTCAGAAAAAGATCGAATTAATAAACGATCTAATAATCATAGTTTAAATGGAACAAATGTTAATGATCTAATGAATATATCAATGTTATCAGGCAGTACAGGACATTAATATTAATTATGATTCAGTATCATAGTAATCTAATCAAGATTCATTAATGAAATGATTCGAGTTTATTATCCATTGATTGTTCTATTGAGATTTTTATTCATTTCACTTGATCCATAATAAAGAATAAACACACACACACACACACACACACATAAACATGTTCATATGAAATATAACAACAAGTTGATGAATAGAAAGTTTCTTTATTATTTCGTTCATTGTCATTCAATTACAACAGTATGTAGTCATTATGTTCTTTGTTGACTGACAATTTCTTTGATCCATTCAAAGTTTTGTTAATAACAATAAAGTTTTATTGATTAGGGTAACACGAAATAAAACAAAACAGACAAAAAAACGAGCTATCAATATCATCATTTAAAAAGAAAAAAATAGTCATCCAAACTTTACACATTCATATACTTCAGTATTCATTCCCTCTTGTTCACATCATTACATTACATATACTCGATATATATATATTTGTATGTATTAAGTTATGGGTTTGTGGTATGCATGATAATATGCATTTTTTTTTCTCTGTTTCTGTATATCCTATTTCATCATTATTCATTTATTGTTCTATGATTCAAATTCACCGCCAGAATTTTTTTTTTGATTTTAGAGTTATATCAACTGAAAAAAAAAACACGTATTTCAAATTGTACATTATTCTTCATAGTTTTCAATTCATTATTATTACTATTATCATCACTACTACTATTACTCCTACTACTACTATTACTACTACTACTATTACTAGTACCACTACTATTACTACTACTACCATTACTACTCCTACTATTACTAGTACTACTCACTACACTACCATTACTACTACTACTATTACTTACTACTACACTACTACACCACCATTACTACTCCTACTACTACTATTACTACTACCATTACTACTCTTACTATTACTATTACTACTACTACCATTACTACTCCTACTATTACTTCTGTTACTATTACTACTACTACTAATAATAATAATAATAACAATAAATAGTGAAAGTTCAGTACAGATCTGCCCATTTCAAAATTGAATGAAATACATCTATATATATATATTCCTTTACAGATGTCGATTAGTAACTACGTACTACACTTGGAACAATGAGAGACAAAAAAAAATGAAAAAAACAATAGCAAATTTACATCATCTTTCATTAGAATAAACATAACTATTCACTATGTGTATATTTCAGTGGATATATATGTGTATTGAGGTGTGTTGATCTTGTGTTTTCCTCTTTTCAATTAAAACATTGAACTCGTTTGGTGTTTCTTATTAAACAAAAAAATAATAATATTCGTTTGTTTTTTGTTTGTTTTGTTTGTTTGTTTGTTTGTTTTCATGAAACCTTATTGCTAAATCATTTCATTCATTTTCATACTAAATATTAATATTACGTTTACTATTCTATAAATATATACTATTTATTACTTTCTTACTCCTGTTACTCCCAATGGAACATAGGCCGCTGACCAGCATTGTCCAACCCACTCTGTCCTGAGCCTTCATTTCCAGTTCTATCCAATTCTTGTTCATTCTTCTCATTTCTGTCTCCATTTCTCAAAGTAATGTGTTCTTTCGTATTCCTTTTCTCCTTTGACTATGATGATACCATGTGAGAGTTTGTCTTGTGACGTAATTGTGTGCTTTCCTCAATGTGTCTTCCATCCACTTCCAACGATTCTTCCTGATTTCTTCCTCCGCTTGGATCTCGTTTGTTCTCTTCCACAGTAAGTTGTTGTTGATAGTGTCTGGCCAACGGATCCGAAGTAGTTTGTGTAGACAATTGTTAATAAACACTTGTATCTTCTGGATGTTGGCTTTAGTTGTTGTCCAAGTTTCTGCCTCATGCATTAGAACTGTGTTGACATTTGTATTGAAAATTCTGAGTTTGATGTTGGTTGAGTTGCGTTGTTTTGAGTTGCAGATGTTCTTCAATTGTAGATATGGTGTTCTTGCTTTGCCGATCCATGACTTCACATTTGCATCAGATCCACCGTGTACATCAATGATGTTGCCTAGATACGTAAAGCTTTTTACATCTTCCAGAGCTTCTCCATCAACTGTGATTGTATTGTTGGATGTTGTGTTGTATTGGAGAATATTGCTTTTCCCTTTGTGTATATTGAGACCTAGTGCTGCTGAGGCTGGTTCCACACTGATTGTCTTCTCTTGCATTCGTTGTTGCGTATTGTTTATTGCTGGATAGGAATTAGCGAGCATCATATTTTTGATAGCTCTTTTTTTATTCCAATGTGTCGAAATTACTACAACATCATTATCATTTTTCATGTCATGAATTATAACTATCTGTCTTCTGACCAGATAGGAATTCATTGATTATAACTACTCACTTAAACCCCGACCGTTGCTGCCACTCTGACCTGGTGGTCGGGCTTGTCCATCATGATGAACCAATCGAGCTACACTGGCTAGAACGATCATTCCTCAAGATCCGAAGGCGAAGTTGTACTGCTGACTGTACAGAGGTGTGATGGCAGTAAGGTGTTTCCTTCAGACAACCAGCATAACAGCGATGCTGCCTTCCCACAAGGATAGGTGGGGTTAGAAAAGGTTGACCCTAGAAATACACACCTCGCCTCATCCCACGGATATCCGTCTCCGGCGGTAAGGTCTCAACAAGTATGGAGCTAACACGAAAATTACTCACAAAAAGGTCTTGTGTGACCGACCTCATACTGTTGTCCCTTGGTCACTGCGTTCACGCTCTCAGGTCATTAAGACCACCTCTAATCAAATTTCCTTTTCAGGTACTTTTTAGGTTCCAAATGAATTTAGTGACTACTGTCGACAGGATGATTATAAATATTTTAAGTAGTATGTGAAGATTTTTCAAATAGAAGTTAATTTAAGGTACCACTTGAGTTTATGTAGACAACCATTGAAAACGAGGGAGCAATCGACAAGTGTTATGTCGTAACATAATAATGGCTCTTCATTAATGCATGAACATACTCCTTCTCAAAGTCAACAATCTCTCAACCTGGTGATCATTTTGTGGGTTGGTTTTTTTTCTTTTTTTTATTTCCTTCATTTTTATATGAGTAATTGGTTCAATTCATATTTGCCCCAGGCTCTATGATTTTAACTAACTGATATAGAGCAGTTTTTGAGACATGAAAACATATTTCAAAAAAGACCACTTGTAGACCTTAGTCAATGAATGATAAGAATCATTTCAAGTTTCCACACTTCCGCTTTGTTTGATGTTTTTACTTGTATATACCGATTATTATTTCATGAATTTCAGCATCTTCGGACATGGCTTAGAGACGAATAAAGTGATGATTTCTTCGACTAAACAACCAAAAGTCTATGGATGAATTAGCACATTTGATTAGCTATCTAAACCCAATTTCTAAGTGTAGTTTAAAGCGATGGGTGCTAAATTGAAGTTCCAGAATTCACATTCATTTTGGAATGTATTGATGAATCCTAAACAGGATGGAACGTACTATGTAGATCCTATTACTAACCACATTCCATCTAGTTTCGATAATACATCATATATATGTTTTGTGAAAATAACTATATATTGACAAAAATGAGTAAATATCAGAATATCAGTTTATTGAATCAGTATCCAAGTTTACAATAAGCAGTTCTCTCACATTTCCTCTACACTATCTCTGTTCCATATAGATCAACTATGAATTCCCATAAGTTTCTTTATAATTCACTATCGTTTCATTGATTTCATTCATAAAAATAACAATGTTCTACCTTCTTTTTCATTGTCTAAATAAACTAGGCGTATCCCATTATCTTCGATTAAAGGTGAAGATTATAATATATAAATAATAGAAGTTTATAATATACAATTGATTGATCATTGGATGGTGAATAATATCATGTATGTCAGGTCCTTCTTAGTATACAGATCAAATCCTATTGATCAAGTCACAATATGATCAGTCAGTCTAGGTGACTCGACATTGTGTTGATGGTGGTATTACATGAAATAGCTTATTATTTACAAGAGACTTTTATATTAGAAATGGTAGTGTTTTTGGATATTCTAATCTAGTTTGTTGATGATATATTTATGGTTAACTGATCTGACTCTAATTTAGATGAACGTATGAATACAAATCTTCCATTTAACTCCATTTATTACTTGAGCTAACACTGTTCATGTGTTGACGGTAATAAAAAGCTCAATACAAGTTTCATTGGATGGATTTATTTCAAGCATTCGCCAGATGCTCGGTATAAGAAGCGGAAAATCAAAACAGTGCTGAGCTGAGAAGGTGAGTGAACCAACTCAAACTGATCAAGTATGACCCAATATCACAATTGATTGATCACTGTGTGGCGATCAATGTCATGCGTGTCTAGTCCTTATTAGCGCAGATCGAATGCTATCGATCATGTTGCAATGTGGCCACCAGTCTAAGTGACTCGACACTGCGGGCACTATATATTGAGATACTCAGAATAAGAAGCGGAAAATCAAAACAGTACTGAGCTGAGAAGGTGAGTGAACCAACTCAAATTGATCAAGTATGACCCAATATTTATAGTCTGACAAAAATAAGTTACATACATGAGTAATGAGTAGGGTAAGCAATTAGGACACATACGCCCATAGAAAAACAGTTAAGGTTAATAAGCAAATAATTAACTAGGTCAAAATGTGGCTTGAGAAGAATGAATAAATTGGTCTTTCTAAAAGCTAAAATAACCTGTGTGGGTTTGACATAGTACCAGATACTAAAATAGTACGTAATTTGTCAATATTTACAGAATCGGTTGGAGGGGGAAAGTAACTTGTTAAAACGTCAATAAATCAATAAAATGATAAACACCTTAAACACTAATGAAAGTTGAAAATTGTGTGGTACATGAACACTTGATGGAGTTAGGAGAAATTTTGTATTTTAGAACTTTAGGGCATAGATTACAAACTTCGTCAGATATTTACTAGAACTTAATGACCTTCAATTACTTACTTACGCCTGTTACTCCTCTTGAAGGAGCATAGGCCGCTTACCAGCATTCTCCATCCAACCCTGTCCTGGGCAGTCCTTTCCAGATCTTTCCAGTTGTTATTTATCTTTTTCATATCTGCTTCTATTTCCCGACGTAATATGTTCTTTGGCCTTCCTTTTTTCCTCAATTTGGTCTGAGCACGATCGATCCTTACGGAATCCATCCTGTTGATCTCGAAGTTGGGCGCTAACCAGAAAAACAACCTCCAATGAATGGTATCAAAAAGCTTAAGGTTGATTAAATCTTGAGAGATACAAGTCATTCCAGAATTAAAATGTTAATTTTGTTCTGTGACAATCATCGGTATCCTCAAGATCCAAACTGTCTATTACGTTAAGTTCAGTGTCAGTTTCATAATGATAGCTATTTATTAAAATATCAATTAACTGAATATGAGCTGAATTTAAACTATGCGCATTAATTTGACAGTAAATTTTCTTATGGAAGGATCAGTTAAACTGAAACATGTATCTTATCATTCATCACATATAACCCACAGTAGAAGTGTGGTGTATGCTACTTATGTTGACAGATATAAGTAGTATGTATATCATCAATAGAAAGTGAAATGCTTGGAGGTAGATGGTTGAGAAGATCGAAGAAAGGAGAGCGAGAATATAGAATGATTGGTGTGTAAACGAAGGAACAATGAAGTCTTAGACGATTGACTGACATTTTGCAAATGAAGTATTTACTGTATAGTTCTCAGATTTGATTAAGAGATTCTGTAATTGTGTGTGTTCAAATACATTCGATTGTTCTCACTAGTATTCTCGTTCAATACAGAAGTACTTGTGTAAAATTACTGAGAAGCTCTATAATTGTTATGAAAAGTCATATGACTGATTCACTGAATGTCAAGCGAGCTGTTGAAGTAAGAGTGCTGATTTAGGTAGAACGTTTTACACATGGAATATATGTATTGGTTGAAGTTAGACATTAACACTGTCGGATGCCCGTACAGTGGTCTAGAGCTTAAGCATTCACAAGCGGGACCGATAGGTCCTGCGTTCGAATCTCACGGGGCAGGATCGTGGATGCGCACTGCCAAGGACTTCCATACTAGTACGAAACAGCCATCCAGTGCATACAGGTA